TCTAGCAGTCCCACTTCTGAGTATATTTCCAGAAGAAAACAGAATCTTTGAAGAGATAATCTGCATACCTGTGTTTATAGAAGCATTATTCACATATAGGTAGAAGCAATCCAAGTGTCCATTGTTGGATGAATGGATAAATAAAATGTAGCATATACATACAATGAAATGTTATTTAGCCTTAAAAAGGAAAATTCTGACACATGTTACAACATGGATGAATCTTGAGGACATTATGCTAAGTTAAATAAGCCAGTCACAAAGTCAGAAACTATACAGTTCCATTGATGAGGTATCCAGAATAATCCCATTCATAGAAACAAAAAGTAGGATGATGCTTGCCAAGGGCTTAGGGGTGGGGGAAAATGGAGAGTAGTTGTTTAATGTGTGTGGAGTTTCAGTTTTGTAAGATGAAAAAGTCCTGGAGATTGATTATACAACAGTGTGAATATACGTAATACTACTGAACTGTACACTTAGAAATGGTTAAGATGGTAAATTTTATGTTAAGCGTTTTTTACCACAGTTTTTAAAAAAGAATCTAAGAACAGGATTTTCATAAGGTCATAATTCAGAAAGGAAGAAGCAGCCACAGATAACACTGTAAATAAACTTTGACAAGTTTGATTAACACTTGTCAACTAGAGTTTGTGAATTTTTAAGCTGTGACCTGTCATCAACCTAATTCTACTCTTTGCTCTTCTCTCATTTGTCTTTCAATATGCCAGTTGACTAATTCTCTCAGCATCCGTAATTTACACTTCAAAATGACTGGTTAGCTCGGAAAATTTCTCTTTCTTCTATTGGGCAATACTTTTCTAACGTGGCCTTCTCTTAGCTTGTAAACTGTGGATCAGCCAGTCTGGTGTCTTTGGTTCAGTTAGTGGGCGCTCCTTAATTGGGGACTATGAAAGGGACAGATTTTCTTAGTAGAGATCAGCGAATTTCTGTAAATTTATGCATAAAATAGATACCCTCTAAACAAGACATTTCAAGCTCTTTTAAAATTGATACTACTTTAGGGGGCCTGGGTGGCTCAGTCCGTTGAGCATTCAACTCTTTGTTTTGGCTCAGGTCATGATCTCAGGGTTGTGAGATGGAGCCCGATGTCAGGCTCCTGAGTCTGCTTGTCTCTCTCCCTCTGCTCCTCCCCCACTGCATGCACACGTCCTCTTGAGAATGAATGAATGAATGAATGAGTAAATACATACATACATACATACATGCATACATACATAAAAGATACTACGTTAGTAATAAGGAGGATATAGTGGATGCTGTGGTGAGTGGCTCAGTTACTTCCTTTGGGACCAAAGCCCTCGTTCCAGGAGTATTGCCTCCTGAGGGCTCATAGCTGAGTCTTCCCAGGAATTGCCTCTGCCAAAGACAGTTGCCTTATCCGTGGTTATAGCCCCATCCAGGGAATAGCCTGCATCTAATGATCAGGGGTACAGATGTCAGGGTACAAAGGCCTGGTCTCCTTGCCTTAATTTGGACAACTTTAAAGAGCCATCTCAGCTTTAGTGCTGGCTCTGGGATTGGCCAGCGTCTATAACAATAGCATTGCCGCTCTGTCCAGTCTTACTGGCCTCTACTGAAGTACTTTACTGGAGGACTCTCCGGTAGGTTGTCTGCAGGCAAAATTCTAATTAATAAGAGTGCCTTGCACATAACAAGCTTTCACGAAATGTTGGTTAAAACCATTTGTCCGTACCATTGTTTTTCAAAGTGTGGCCTGGAGGTTTTGGAGGACCCCAGGAATATTTCAGGGAGTCTACAAGGCAAAACTGTTTTCATTAATACTGGTAAGACATTTGCATTGTTTGCATTTTTCATTGTTGTGTCATTTGCACTGATGGTGCACAAAAATAGGTAAATAAGAGCACCTGGGTGGCTCAGTCAGTTGAGTCTGCCCTCGGCTCAGGTCATGGGCTCAGGTCATGATCTCAGCCCTCATCAGGTTCCTTGCTCAGCGGGGAGTCTGCTACATGACAAAGGTCAGTGGTTGTCTTGAGGAAAAGCACATGTGTGATTCAGTTAGCTGTACTATTTTTTTGTTTGTTTTTTTTAATATAACACCATTTTTTTATTAGGAAAAATGGCAAGCAAACTGTGGCTATATTTAGACTTGGGTATTTGAGAGACATACTTTTGGAAAAACCTGTTACTTGAAGTAAAATGACTGACATCATTTCTTGCCAGTGGCCAAATTCAAGTTTTCCAAGCAAAAATTAGAATTTTGGGAAATTTATACCCACCAACCTGAGCTTGATGGCTTCCTAGTACTTAAAGACTGTTTTGATAAGATCAGTTATATATAAAAGTAAGAATTTTTATTATTTAAGGAACTACATCAATATTTGGGTGATATGTGTAAGTCACCAAATCAATGTTTTCTAAATGACCAATGCATGATGTTACTAAAAGATGCATTCAAAGTACAGGGTAGACTGGTGGATTTTAATGTGACAGATTATGAAAGAAATTTATCATTATGGTTTATATTCCACATTTTAGTTAACTTTTAAGAAATGACCACTTGTCAAGTTTTGATATAGTACCAAAAACGTATGTCCACAATTATTTGAAGAGACAGTAGCCACATAAGCCAGGTTTTCTTCGTAGACTTGTACCAAAGCAACATATTGCAACAGATTGAATGTGGGAATAAATAAGAGAGTCCAGCTGTCTTCTTATAAAGGCAGACATTACAGAAATTTGCAAAAATGTGAAACAGTGCTACTGCTGTCACCAAGTTTTTGTTGTTTTAAAATATAACTATTTTCATAAAAAGATTTTACATTAACATATGGTGGGTGTACATTTATTACTTGAAAATGAATTAATACTTTTTAAATTTACTTTATAATATAGTAAACATTGATAGATATAACCCACATAAATAAAGGCTTTTTGGGGTACTTGATGATTTTTAAGAATGTGAAGAGGTCCTGAGGCCAAAAAGTGAGAATTGCTGGTCTGTAGTGTTAGGAATAAATTAAGTCCTACCTCCATGTACTTGACAGTATCTTCTGTCTCACATACGTAATGATACAGTGTATGAAAAATATTTTTAGGTATCATTCAATATATTAATAAGACTTTTTTATGTTTCACTGAAGTAGAGAATAGGCCACAAACCTATTTACATTAATACTTGCTTTTAGTAGTATGACTCACCCTATTAAAATTCCCTAAATTATAAAAATATAGTGTGATTTTTTTTTTTAAAGGTTCCTGGCCTTGAACCCATCCTTAACCCCTCAAAAACAACATGAGTAATGCATGAGCTTGGTATGACAACACTATCTTAGTTATTTTAATCTTTTAAACAAAATTCTTCCCAGAGAAAATCAAAGAACCTCTTAATGCTCTAGGTAGTAGATTCAGGTCTGTAGATTAAACATACACACACACACACACACACACACACATTTTAGTTGTTTGGTTTGGTTTTGGTAATTCTTTGTAGTGCAGAATCAGGAGTAGCAGCTGGATTCAGGATTGAACATTAGAACACATATTGTTAGATATCGATTGTGTTGCTAAAAAGTCTTTTAGTGTTCACTGTTGTTAAAAGTGTGTGTGTGTGTGTGTGTGTGTGTGTGTATAACACTTTTAAAGCCATTACTGGTTTAAAAGGGAGGGGAGCTGGGCGGAGATGGGGTACTTGTTCTCTGTGAAAAGTGGAATAGGGGTGCCTGGGTGTCTCAGTCTTTGGGCGTCTGCCTTTGGCTCGGGTCGTGGTCCCAGGGTCCTGGGATCGAGCCCCACATTGGGCTGTTCAGCGGGAAGCCTGCTTCTCCCTCTCCCACTCCCCCTGCTTGTGTTCCCTCTCTTGCTGTCTCTCGCTGTCTGTCAAAATAAATAAATAAAATCTTTCTAGAAAAAGTGGAATAGTTTAGCTATTTACTCTGAAGTTTTTTAATTTTTAAAATTAGGAAAAATAGATAATTTTTAAGATCCTTTACAGGTATAAAATTCTCATTTTAACTCTTAGCCACACATGCTTTTTACAATCACATACGATTGGAGGAAAGAAAGTTTTTACCAACCCCAATTGACTTTCTATTACTGATTAACTATAGTAAGTTTCTGAAAGAAATTTATATTTGGAGAAAATATGGTTATAAAATTAAGGACTGTATTTTTTAAACATTATTGACTTCTTTTTTTTAAGATTTTACTTGTTTGAGAGAGAGAGAGCACGAGCAGAGGGAGAGGGAGAAGCAGACTCCCCGCTAAGCAGGGTGCCCAATGTGAGGCTCAATCCCAGAACCCTGAGATTATGACCTGAGTGGAAGGCAGACACTTAGCCAACTGAGCCACCGAGGTGCCCCAAACATTATTTGACTTTTAGAACGGTAAAGCCAGAGTATAAAACTAGTATAGAGATTTAAAGATTTTTGTTATGGGGTGCCTGGGTGGCTCAGTCAGTTAAGCATCTGCCTTGGGCTCAGGTCCTGGGATTGAACCCCATGTCAGGCTCTTTGCTCAGTAGGGAGTCTGCTTCTCCCCCTCACTCTCCCTCTGTTCTCTCTCTCTGAAATAAATAAATCAGTCTTAAAAAAAATAAAAATAAAAATTTTTGTTATATCAGGGAAACTCTTTAGACAAAAGCTGACCTAGAAGCCCATTATGTACAACAGGAAAAGTAGAGCTGCGTAGTAGAATTAATAATCAAGCTTGGCTTTCTGTGATATTTTTTTCAGTTGTAACTGGTAGTCTGTCATTACACTATTTGTGAAGCAAGGGTATTGCCCGCTGGGATCTACAAGTAACTTTTTTTTTAAACAAGAAATTTAAGTTGACTGCAGTTTTAAATGCCACATGCATTTTTTATTAGATTAGTATCATGTTTATTATGTGTTAGGTTGTAATTGTTTTTTAAAATGCTATAATAGTGGCTTTTAAGTGCTATAAACATGAAGAGTCTTTTGAATGTGTGCCTTTTATGATTTGGTGTTATTTACAGCTGTTTCTTTTCTTCTTTTTTTTAGGAGTATAGCATGGCTCAAGAATCTCCCAAAAATTCAGCAGCAGAAATTCCAGTGACTAGTAATGGAGAAGTGGATGACTCTCGTGAACATGGCTTTAATAGGGTAAGAATAGTTTTCTTTCTCTTAATACAAAGAATCATGATAAGCCCTTAAATGTTGAGATGAAAGTAATAGAGTTTAATATAGGAATATTTTTCTTAGATTGACTGAAGTGTTGGGAATCTAATGTTACCATGTAGGGATGACTAGGTGGGTCATGTTAGTGAATTGTCAAGATTAAGCTCCCTGCCAGTAAGCATTTAAGCTTTGATGTTATCATCAGTAATTCTGTTGTATGACCAGGACAAGAGTGTAGCTGATGACTTTGGCATATAACTTTATAAAACTATTTAATTTTATTTGTGATAAGAAAAAATATTAACTGTAGATTATCCTTTCAAAAATTGGCACTGATTTGTTTTTTATGTGTCCTTAGTACATAATTCCCAAGTAGGCTTCTCCTGACTTTGCTCTTCATTTTCTAAAGTGGCATATTGACTCTGGAAAATGAAACTTGCGGTGCTTTTAATTTTGATTTGACTCTCATTTGAAATTGAAATTTAATGCATTTTAATGGAAACACTATGGGTTTGGAGATAATCTGAGTGCAAATTTCCACTATGCCATTTCTAGCAGTGTAATCTTAGGCAAGTATTTAATCTCTTCTAAATTTTGTTTCTAATCACTATAAATGAGAATCTTATTTCATGGGGATATTGACATTAAATGAGATAAAGTAAGTAATATGCCTAGGATTGTCCTAGAAATGTTAGTGATGATTATTATCTCTGGAGATATTTACATTAAATACCCCTTTTTATGACATTTGATACATGTGTACAACTTCCCTTTTTTTTTTTTTTTTAAATCAACTTGGGGCTTGAACTCAACAACCCTGAGATCAAGACCTGAGCTGATATCAGGAGTTGGAGGCTTAACCAATTGAGCCACCCAGGTGCTGCCCCTGTACAATTTTAACTTTAAAAATATAGTGTTCGTATTTTTGGAAAAGTAATAGTTGAAAGAAACTTGAATTATTTTATAGTTTAAATAGGACTCTTTAGTTCATACACTTAATAAAATCCTTTATTTTTTAAAATCCTTTGTTTTAACATAAGGTGATATTTTAGATCAGGATTTCTTAATCTCAGCACTGTGGACATTTTGGGCTGGATAAATTCATTGTTGTAGAGGGCTGATGTCTGCATGTAGGATGGTTAGCAGCATCCCTTGGCCTCTTCTGCTAGATGCCAAAAGCACCCTCCTCCAGTTGTGACCAACAAAAATGTCTCCAGACATTGCCAAATGATACCTAGGGTTGAGGAAAAACAAGTTTTAGATAGATTGTTTTAGTTGATTTTAGTAAATTCCATTGAATTTCACTTATTTTTGCCTTAGCCATTTTTTGGAAGCAATGAATGTGTCTTCAAACTTGAGGCTTATTTTAGTTGCAAGTGTTTTAACTTGGTTTCTAAGCCCCTGTGGCCTAATATAGAGTGACTCACAGAAGGAAGAGACCTTAAATTCTGAACACACAAGAAATTTTCATTTTAGGTTTAGTCTTTCTTGTGTTTGAAAGTACTGAGACACACCTGCATAATAAGCTAATTCAAGTTACCATCATTAGACTCTAGCAATTACTTTATAAACTTCTGTTAATTCAAATAACTCATTATACCAAGATTTTAGTTAATGATTGCTTTGTTTTACTTTTGCTTAACAGCTCCTTTTGCAAACTTATTCTGCAAATATTTTTTTTAAGATTTTATTTATTAGAGAGAGCATGAATGGGGGGGGCGGCGAAAGGGAGAGGGAGAAGCAGGCTCCCCACTGAGCAGGGAGCGATCCCAGGACTCTGGGATTATGACCTGAGCTGGAGGCAGACACTGAACCAACTGAGCTACCCAGGTGCACCTTATTCTGCAAATATTTATCGAGTATCTGCTGGGTACCATGCCTGGAGATACAGTAGTGAATAAAAATGACAAAAATACCTGCCATCAGGGAGTTGATATTCTAATAGGCAGTCTAGTGACTTTCGTCTAAGAAAAATGCAGTACATACAAAATGTTGCATTGTTTTGGAGATTCACCTGCTACCTTAAGCCTGTTCTTTTTCTTGTGTTTTCATTTTGTTTTGTTTTGAGCTATAGTTTATACACAGTATTAGCAGAAATGTTAATGGGGCACATGGGTAGCTCAGTCCGTTAAGTGTCTGACTCTTGATTTCTGCTCAGGTTATGATCTCAGGGTTGTGAGATTGCATCCTGTCAGGCTCCATGCTCAGCGGGGAGTCTGCTTCTCTTGCTCTCCTTCTGCCCCTCCCCTTGCACACATGTGTTCATGCACACTTCTCTCTCTCTCTCTCTCAAATAAATCTTTTAAAAAACCCTCAGGATCGTAGATTAAAAAAAAAAGCACAAATGTTAAGTGTACAGCTGAAGTGGAACCACTACCTACATTAAGATGTAGAACATTTCCAGGACTTTACTGGCTCTCTTGCCCTCTTCAGAGGCAATATACTTCCCTCCCTCCCAGGGTAATCACTGCTACTCTAACTTTATATCATAGATTGCTTTTGACTGTTCCTGACTACAAATAAATGGAATCATACAGTATGTACTCTTTTTTGACTGGCTTCATTCAACATTATTTCTATGACATTTATTCATACTGTTGCTTATGCAGTATTTCATTCTTTTTCATTGTAATGTAGTTTTCCATTGTGTTAATATACCACAATTTGTGTATCCATTCTTCAATTGATGGATACCTAGGTTTTTTCCAGTCCATGGCTATTATGAATAAAGCTGTTGTGACCATTCTTGTACAGGTCTTTTGGTGTACATGATCACCTATTTCTATTGGGTATATACCCTAGAATGGAATTGCCAGATACATGATGTTAGGCTTTGGTAGATACTGTTAACTAATTTTCCAAAGTGGTTGGACCAGTTGACAATCCTACCAGCAATGAGTGAGAGTTCTAGTTGTTAAACATCCTTATCAAAACTTAGTATTCTCATACCTTTTAATTTTAGCCACTGTGATGGAAACATAATGGATCTCACTGTGATTTTCTTATGCATTTCTCTAATAATTTATGATGTTGAGCGTATTTTCATATTCTCATTGACCATTTGAATATTATCTTTTGTGAAGCCCCTTTTTAAGTTTTTTGCCCATTTTTCTGTTGGGTACATGCCTTTTTCTAATAATTTGTAGGCGTTCTTTATATATCCTAAGTCACTTGTTTGGATATATATATTTCAGATATTTTCTTTCAGTCTGTAACTTGCTTTTGCACTCTGTTAATGGTATCTTTTGATGAACAAAAGTTGGTAATTTTTAATGAAGCCCAATTTATCAGTATTTCCTTTTAGTGACTTTTGTGACCCTTTTGAGACATCTTTGCCTATCCCAGTATCATGAAGATATTGTTTTCTTCTAAATATTTTTTGTTTTGTTTCTCACACTTAGCTCTGTGATTCATCTTGAATTAGTTTTTGTGTGATGTGGGGGTCAAGGTTCTTTTTTTTTTTCCTTATATAAATATCTAATTGCTATTCACTGTTTATTGAAGAGACTGTCCTTTCTGCACTGGAAGCTTTTGCTGTTAATCAGGTAATCATATATGTGTTGTTCTATTTCTGGACTCTGTTTTATTTCTTGGTCTTTTATCCTTATATTATCCTTGTAATAATACCACAGTTACTTAATTACTACAGTAATTAAGTCTGGAACAAATATTATGTTTAACCCTAATACCTAGTAGTTAATTCCTCTAGCTCTGTTCTTTTTCTAGGTTGCCTTATACTTAAACTTATTCATGACTCTTTACTTAAGAACCTTTATTTTTAAAAGCCTTTGGGGCATCTCGGTGACTCAGTCAGTTAAGCGTCCAATTCTTGGTTTCAGCTCAGGTCTCAGGGTCCTGAGATCAGCCTTGCATAGGGCTCTGTGCTGAGTGCAAGTCTGCTTGAGATTCTCACTCCCTCTCCCTCTGTCCCTTCCCCCACTCGCCTGCACACATGCTCTCTCCCCCTCTCTCTCTCAAATAAATAAAAATCTTTTTAAAAGCTGTGGGATGTCTGGGGTGGGGGGGTGTTCAGTCAGTTAAGTGTCCAACTCTCTATTTCCACTTAGGTCATGATCTCAGGTTTGTGGGATAGAGCCCTGTCTCAGGCTCTAGGCTGAGCGAGGAGTCTACTGGTCCCTCTCCCTCCCCCTCACCCACTCGCTTTCTCTCTTGCCCCCTCTCAAAATCTAAAAAAAAAAAAAAAAGATTTAAACAATAAGAACCTTTATTTGCCTTTGAGTGGCACTGAAAAAAGTTTTTATCCTTTCAAATTTTAACTTTAGAATTGAGTCTTATTTGAGTGAAGTGAATTAAACCATAACATTATCTGTGTAAGCTCTTTGCTTATGCAGTCAAGACCAACTGACTTGCTGCTTTGTAAATTACTCATTGGTTAACGTCAAATCCTCTTTTTGGACATTCCCCTGCAGTGTTATTTCACTTCTTTTGGGTGGTAAGAGAAGGAAAAAAGATATTCTCCTGGAGGTCTCCTTTTATTGGATGTGAACTTTACCTGTGGGCAAGGTTTCTTAAGAAGCAATCTAGGGGCGCCTGGGTGGCTCAGTCATTAAGTGTCTGCCTTCGGCTCAGGTCATCATCCCAGGGTCCTGGGATCGAGCCCCACATCAGGCTCCCTGCTCAGCGGGAAGCCTGTTTCTCCCTCTCCCACTCCCCCTGCTGTGTTCCCTCTCTCACTGTGTCTCTCTCTGTCAAATAAATAAATAAAATCTTTAAAAAAAAAAAGCAGTAATCTACTTCAAGTAGTACACCCCACTTCACCTACCTGAAGAAATTCAACATAAAACTTGTTTCTGTTTGTACCTGCTCTTATTAAAAATATATTCATCACGAGAGCCTCTTACATATTTAATATCCTTGAATTAAAATAAAATTGGCTGTGTGATCCCTTTCACCGTGAGTGAAAACAATATTTCAAAAGCATCTTTTGACTGTTTTGAATAAATTATACTCAAGATCTTGTAGGC